CAAAAAAAATTTTTTAATTTATTTAATGTTTATTGATCCAATTGGCTTTTTATTTCTTTTTGTACTAATTTTGTTAATTTTTTCTAGAAAATTGTCAGTGTATTTCATCATGTAATGTACAGTATTCTTGTGTTTTTTAAAAATATATATAGTTTATCTCTTTTTATGACACCTGTTTATTTCTAATACTGTCTTCGTGCTAACTCTTTTTTTTCATAATCAGTCTTGCTGAATGTCCATTATTTGATCTAATTTCTTTTTTTAAAAAACTTTATTATTTTATTTCTTCTATTTTCTTGTTGGTTTAGTATTTTTCCTACTTCTTTAGTTGAATGCTTAATTCATACATTTTTTTCTTTTCTTGTTTTGCTATGTGTGTAGGTGTATACATACATATATGTCTGTGTGTGTGTATATATATATATATGTATCCAACTATTTGGAAATTTAGGGAAGTCTTTATATTAATTGGGTTTCTAATTTTATTACTCAGTGGTCAGAGAATGTGGTCTGTGGAATATGTACTTTTGGATTCTTTGTGATGTGTCTCATGTATGCACATAGTCAGGCTAAGCTCAGATCTATAAACATCATGGATCTTTGCAGTGTTACTTAACCCTTTCAGTCCAGACTGTCAGTCTGTCTTGCTTCAGTGGTTAAGAACACAAGTGTCCAGAGTGTTCAAATCTCAGTGTGGTCAGCAACTATCTATGTGACTTTGAATAAGTAATTTAAGCTCTATTTTTGGGTTTGTTTGTTTTTGTTTTTTTTGTTTTTATTGTACTTCAGGTGAAGGTTTACAGAACAAATAGTTTCTCATTAAACAGTCAGTAGACATATTGTTTTCTGACATTGGTTAATAACCCCATGACATGTCAACCCTCTCCCTTCTCGACCTTTTTTTTTTTTTTTTGGTGAAAATATACATAGCCAAAGATACACCATTTCAAAAATTTCTGCATGCACAGTTCAGTGACATCGATTATCCCCCTTCCAATTATGCTGCTATTCTCACTGTAGATGAAGATTTACAAAACAAAATAGTTTCTTATTAAACAGTTAGTACCCATGTTGCCCTATGACAATGGTTAACAACCCCACTACACATCAACACTGTCCTTACTCAACCTTGGGTTCCCTATCACCAGCTTTCCTGTCCCCTTCTGCCTTCTAGCCCTTGTCCCTGGACTGCTGTGCCTCATTAATCCCATTTTGTTTTATGGGGCTTAAGCTCTATGTTTTGTTTGTTTCATTATCTATAAAATAGATATATTAATAGTAATAAATTTACTGAGTTGTTGTGAGGATTAAACTAATTGCTTACATATAAAATCTCTTACAATAATCTTTTATTTAATTGATTATTTTTTATACACTTTAGATGATTTACTGAGCAAATCAGTTTCTCACTAAACAATTAATACACATATTGTTTTGTGACATTGATTGCCAACACCACAATGTGTCAACCCTCTCCTCTTCTCCACCTTGGGTTTCTCATTACCAGATTTCCTGTCCCCTCCTGCCTTCTCATCCTTGCTCCTGGGCTTGTGTGCACAATTAGTCTCATTTTGTTTAATGGGCCTATCTAATCTTTGAATGAAGGGTGAACCTCAGGAGTGACTTCAGTACTAAGTTAAAAGGGTGTCTGGGGCCATACTTTCAGAGTTTCTCCAGTCTTTCTGTCAGACCAGTAAGTCTGGTCCTTACAATAATCTTGATGCACAGTAAATCTATATAAATATTAACTATTATAATTATGTTTAGCACCTAGAGAATTCCTTTATTTTTTAAATCCGGGTCAGCTATGTGTCAAAATAACTTTTCTGCATTCTATGTGTATGTACATTTTTTTACACAGCAGCTTAGGTGGCTATGTTCCCCAAATTCCTTTACAAACATTTCACTCTTCCAGAAATTTTAAACTTCTCTCTTCCACTGCTGACACTCCCCAAGCTCTTTGCTGCCTTTTGTCTAAATGTATTTTGATTTCTCTAAAATTACGGTCAGGTTAAACTATCTTAAACAAGACATCCAATTTTTGTTACATAACAGAAAGTGTTTGCTAAAGAATAAAATTTTCCCGAGTATTGAAATGTGCTGATGTCTGAAAAGAAAATAATCGACAAGGAAATCAGTTAACTTATAGTATGAAGAAAGAATGATGTATGTGAATAATTTACTAATATCATAAGAGTTTATTGAATAAAAAATTAGGTCAATTTATGATGTAGGGTAAGTAATAAATTAGAGAACTTCTGGACCATTCTAGATTCAAGACTTAATGAATATGCAAACGAAGAGCTGACCAATTTACAGTTCATGTCTCTAGAAGGGCACCATTTATTCCCTCCCTATTGTTAGGAAAATTCATGTCTAGTTCTCTTCACTCAGTGAAGGACAGATATTATATAAACCATAAAGCTAGAAAATCCAGCTAGGTTCTTCAATTTGATTTCCACTCACTCATTACTTTCATTGAAATTCTGTTCTATATTAGAGAATCCATAAGACACAGTTATTTAGTTTTCATTTTCATTGAAATACAAAGAGTTAAATTAGCATGCTGTACTGGCGAAGGTGCTTTTTGAAGTTGATAAGAAAGGAAGTGGATGAGACCCTAGCACCTGAGTCCAGCAGGGGTGAAGCTGGGATATAAACAGAGGTTGGTGGACATTGAAGACCCTGCCTGTTTCCTCTGTCTTCCAGTTCTTTAAAAACAACATCCCTTGTAGCTCATCTTACCCGAAAACATTCTAGAAACAGAATTCTGGAAACTGTAGTTCAGCTTAGACAAGATAACAAATAAAGAAGTCATCAAACAAAATTACTCTGAGCTTTCTGTGAATCATGCTTTTCCCATTATGCTTATTCTCCAAGAGCAACAGTTGTTCCTCTTGACTGATGAAAGACACTTTTCAAAAACAAAAACAAAAAAGAGTAGACTGCCTGTGATTCCTGCAGAAGAGGGAAAAAACTGAAGGTCAAGATAGTTGTCCTTTGCAGACTTCAACCCATCCTTCATCGTGATTCTGCTTCTCTTCTCTTCCATATGCTCTTTCCAATTCCCTGATATTCCTGTTTTCACCCATGACCCCTAGAGTCTATTCACTAGTTAGGATGATCTTTGTAAAACCTAAGTTAGATTATCTCACTTCTCTGTTCAAAGCACTTTAGTGCTTTCTTATCTCACTCAAACTAAAAATTTCAAAAGGTTTAACATGAGATCCCCAAGGACCATGTGATCTGGCTTCTCTCCAACTTTCTAAATGTGTCTCCTGCCATGCTCCCATTCTAATCCTCCTCCTGCCACACTGTACTCCTGCTGTTCTTTAAACATGTCAAGCACACTTCTGCCTCAGGACATTCATACTTGTTCCTTGTGCTGGGACACATTTCCAAGCTGGTACATGAGGTTTACTCTCTCACTTTTTTCCAAGTCTTTGCTCTAATTTCGTTACTTTAAAGAAGCCTTTCCTGAATAATCAATTTGTAACAGTACAACATCCATCACTCAGTGTCTCCTTATTCTCCATTATTTTTCTTCTTAGTTCTTCTCACTCTCTAATATATATTTACTTGTTTATGTCCTTAGAGTCTGCCTCTTTTCACTAGAGTGTAAGATTTCTGAGAGCAAAGACATGATTTACTTTGCTTATTGGTATATTCCAAGCATCTAGAACAGAAGCTGGCACACGGTAAATATTAGTCAAATAAATAATTCAATGCCCATATGTGGTATTATTGAACTAATAAGATACTGAAAGCCATTCTTCTGAGCTATCCCTATGCAGTTGTGTTACTGGATGTCAAAAACCAGGAATAAGACATTATATGGGTAAAGAGTTGCAATACTGAAATAAATTTTACTAGAAACTATAATGTGAAGTATATTTCTAAAAGTGAGAACACTAATAATATGCTTATAATGTAATGTTATATAAAACTGTTGTGAATAACATAAGTGTTGACTCTAAACTCTAAAACTCTTAAATGAAAATATTTGAAGATATTTTGACCCTCTCAAAAGTGTTTAAATGTTAACATTGGTGCTTGAAGGAGATTCTAAACTGTAATTGAGTGTCTGAGAAAAAACTAAGTGGCCTGTGATCTACATTGGCAAAACAATCAGAACCAGAGCCTGAATCACCACAAACTTCACAGTCCAGGATATAGTGAAGCCCTGGTGGCATAGTCATTAAGAGGTACCACTGCTAACCAAAAGGTCAGCAGTTCGAATCCTCCAGTTGCTCCCTGGAAACTCTATGGGAGCAGTTCTACCCTGTCCTATAGGGTCACTAAGAGTCAGAATAGAATAGGCAATGGGTTTGGTTTATTTTTTTGGTCTGGCAAGAGTGGCTCAACGTCAGTAACGTAATATCCATTATCCATGCACTCAGAGAACCATAGTACTAATTTCTCCATAGTCTATTTTTCCAAGATCTAATAAGTGTATGTGTGTGTGTGTGTGCGTGTGTGTGAATGAGAGAGAGAGAGAGAGGAATAAACAGAGAGAGAGGGAAAAAAGTAAATATGGAAGCATATCTTAGTCATCTAGTGTTGCTCCAACAGAAATAACCACAAGTGGATGGTTTTAACAAAGAGAAGTTTATTCTCTCACAGTTCAAATTCAGGACATCAGCTCCAGGGGAAGGCTCTCCCTCTCTCTCTGCTCTGGAGGAAGTTCCCTGTGATCCGTCAGTCTTCCTTTGGTCTGGGAGAATCTCAGAGCAGGAACCTCAGGTCCCAAGGATGCACTCTGCTCCCGGCACTGCTTTCTTGGTGGTATGAGGTTCCCATGTGTCTCTGCTCACTTCTCTCTTTTATATCTCAAAAGAGATTGGATTAAGACACTATCTAATCTTGTAGACGTCATCAGGATAACCTCATCATAGTGATACAGTTTACAACACCTAAAGAAGTCACATATAACCTCATCATAGTGATAGAGTTTACAACACATAAGGAAATCGCATCAGATTACACAATCATACAACACTGGGAATCAGGACCTAGCCAAGTTATTACACACATTTTTGGGGGGACACAATTCAATCCGTGACAAAGCATGACTACATTTCTATTTTAAAAATTGCTACTCTCTGTCCTTCATTATTAATGTATCTCTAGTTTTGGTTTTGCTTACCTCCTTGACTGATTTTAGGGATCAGGAAAGGTATGTCAACAAAGAACACTAATTTGATCATTCAAGCAATCAGTTATCATTAGTCATTGGACCACATCACCAATATTACTCTCCCATGTATTTCATCTGTCAATAAAAAACTGTTGATATTTACTATTTTTAATTGCCAGGAAAGAGATAGAAATCTCTTGTCAAAGTGACCCGTTCAATAGTGGGCATCTGGGTTTTAATAGATGGTTTTTCAAACGATTGTTGTACCTAAAAAACAAAACAAAACAAAAAGTTTCCAGATGAGACATACCTCTTGTGTATTGACAGAAAGCATTTTGCACAATGGATTAGAAAATGCTGGGAATGGAGGGCATTCCTAGGGTGGATTGTACCAAGACTGCAGAAATTCTAACTCTCTGCCACTTCCATTCTACTCTTAGAAGTGACTGTGCCAGACTGTGTTCTTTACCTCAGAATAAACACTTCATGCATGATCTAATACCTTTAACCTCCACTTCCCCTATTTTCTGTTTCTGAGAACTGGATCTCAGTTATCCCCACCATGGCTGATCCCTCACTCCCCTAAGATTCAAATTCCAGGATTCCTGTAAGATCTGAGCAATAAATAACTTTCATGTTCCCCCAGCTAAGCTGACCTCTGAAGCCCTCTACCATGCACTGATCAATGAAATCCTACTTCCCTAAACCTGCTATTTTTAGTCTTTTCTCAGGAATACCCTTGAAAGCACAATGCCTAACTCCTATTTATTCACCAGCACCTAACTTACCAAGTTCCTATTCCCAGAAATACTGAGAGTTTTGATACTATCTTCTCTAACCCCACCAAACGTAACAACCCTCTTTTCCCACAGGAGTTTTACTGTTCTCTACAATTTTGAATTGAAAAGCAACCACAATTTCCTGTGTTCGTAATACCACTCACCTTCCCTCAAAAAAGAGGATAAGATCTATTCATTCATTCATATATTTATCTATTCAATGAATATTAGTTGATGTCTACTACATGCTAGGCATGATGAGGTGCTGAAGAAATCCCTGACTTCATAAGGCTTGCATTCTAGTGAGTAAATATAGGTAAAAAACAAACTAATAAAGAAAGTATATACTCAATGGGTGGTGCGAAGAGGTCTAGAGAAAAGTAAATCAGGAAGGAACGAGAGGAATGTTCTGACTGGGGAAGAAACACCACATCTTCTCCTTTGGGCTACTACATTCAAAGAATGTCTCTTCTGTTATTCTCTCTCACATGTCCCAGGTATTTTTGTTTGTGAATCCTATCACAATCTGTAATCACACATCTGCTTGCTGGTCTGCTTGTTTAGTACCCATTTCCCTCACGAGAGTTTACGTTCCAGGGAGGCTGATGTCATATCTATCTCATTTCCACCTGCGTCACCAGCATAGTGCCCATTACCTAGTAGGCCACTCAACATGTATTTGTTGAATAAGTTAAGCAATGAAAATTACTTCAAAATACTCTTTCCCTTCTCTGAATTTTAAGAACTTACAACCCATAACATACAAACTTATGTTTTATATTATTTTGTTCTACTTCAATTTCCAGCTGTGGTATATTGGCATATTCTTTTTTAAACCCGATTTTAAACACACGGATGATAGAGGCTAGGCACCGCTCTGCTTTCACTTCCCTAATGAAGTTTGGCATTCACTTAAAAGATGAATAGTAATAAATGCTTCTTGAACTCGTGAATGAATGAGTAGTAAAGGAAAGAGAAGATTACCTTCTGAAATACTTCTTCTAGGTGATAGCACCAAGAATATTTTTGTAAGCATGTGATGAGTCGTGTGATGAAGGGAGAACCCTGTGTTTCATCTCTCCAGGACAAATTATCTATGAAGATAAAGAGCAGTAATCCTTGAGTAAGCCTTCAGTGTTTTTATTTGTCATTTATTTATTTTTTAAAGCATAGCTTGAGAATTCTCTTGACAGGTTTCCGGATAGCACTTATAACCCTACATTAACTCATTTTCTCATAGGAAAAAAATTGTCTGGCAGAAATTGAACTACAGAGGCAATTTGTCAGAATCACAGGAGATTGCCTTGTGAATGCATTGTGATATTTTTGACTGACTTTCTACTACCTGCCTTGCATTCAATCATTTGTCTTTGAAAAGACACTTGAGAGATAACTGGAATTATCCCATTTTTCAGAGTAAAGAGCAGAAACTCAGAAGGATTAAGTAATTTCCCCACATTCACACGGTAAGTAAGCAACAAAAATGGTTGCCTGTTTAGCAATGTTCTTTATAAATTATGCTGGGCCGTCATTCACACTGTAATACAAAAAAATAAACAAATAGATCAATTTAAGAATTTCTGTCCTCACATTACAGATAAAGGATTGTAAAATATATTAGACAGAACTCAAAATTTCTCTGAAATTATTCCTTCATGGGAACTATCATGATTTTCTAGAATTGTTCAGAGGTCACCTCCAGTCCGTAAATCTCTATCCTCAACTGAAAGTTACATACGTGGTGTTGAGGCCCAGAAAACAATGAAGTCTTTCTCCATGTGGGCGTTGTGAATAGTTTCCTCTTCCAGGTTCTCAGATGACTGTGAAGAGCTGTCTGCTGAGACTGATAGAGAGTCCTTGTGCCACGATATTCCTTTCTTTTCTGTAGAGACATGAACTTGCTATGTACCTTCTCAGTATTAAAATCACAATCGCTCATCTCATTTATTTCTAATGTTTATTCTAACTAGTTTCTCTCTCTCACACACACACACACACTCACACACACCATTTGGCTTTTTCTTTAGTGTCATTGAGCAATGTGTCAATAAATAAAAAGTGGCAGTTTCATAAAACCAGAACAATCCATTTGCCAAGAAGAATAAAAGGGTTAAAGTCTTACCTGCATACTTTCAGAACATAGTTAACAGTTTTAGGCTAAAGTATTTCTACCTTTTTAATTAATTAATTACCTAGCTAATTTATTTTCCAGACGTAGCTCCCAATAGCCAGTAGACACTTGGCAGTCAGGAAAAAAAAAAAAAAAAAAAAAGATTTTGACGTTAATTTCCCAAACCCCTCATCTCCCTATTCTTTTCCTTTTCAATAATGTATGAGAAAAGAACATGCTGCTATTACATAATGGCTCTACTTTCAAATGAAATTCTTCTCAAGCCAGAAAATCTCACAATATCTGTAAAACATTTACAAGAAAGCTGTCATGAAAATGACTCCATTCCAAGGCTTGATTATTTGTGTTAAACGCTGATTTAGAGGCATAGGTGAACTTCTTCACCCCTCACCAAGGTTTAAGTGGTCTAGAAAAATTTCAACCAACCAGACAAATTCTCATTATGCCAGCCTCGAGGATGGGTTTCCATATAATTCAGTTTAGTTTAATTACACTGGATGGAGCCTGAGATTGTTTTCCTTAGATCTAAAATGTGCATCACAGTCCTCTGCAAACACTTTCTTGACATCTGGATTTTCCTTCTCACAACTCACCACCTCTGCAGGCCTGGACAATGATAATCTTCGGTTTGTCCTTTAGACTCTGGCAGTTGTTGTTGTTGAAAATCTGGAAGATGGTGTCATAGGATAACATATCTGGTTGTTCTTCACTATGCATAGTTCCACATATTCCTTCCAGGAAGCCATGAGACATGAACACCAGGAAAGTGCTGTCTGAGGACTTGTGCTCTGGGCGGGCAGCAAATTCCTGCAACACTGACTGCATCTCCTGAAAAAGATCACAAAGTTTTACTTGGCAGTACAAGCATTAACATTTATGTAACCTCCTAGATTTACTACGAACAGTACAAGAAACATATGTAAAATCCCTATCACACATAGTAATTACTCAATGATGATAAAAACAAAACCAAACCAAACCTGTTGCCATTGAGTCAATTCCTACTCAAAGCAACCCTATAACCAAAAAACAAAACAAAACAAAACCCGTTGCAGTTGAGTTGATTCCGAGTCATAGTGATCCTATAACAGGGCACTGTATTCTAACTTTTAGCTCCTGTTGAAATATTATGAACTGTCCTCTTGATCTATTTGAACTATCCAGTTATCCTTTAGTCAGTTGTGACTCATGGCGATCCCACGTGTGTCAGAGTAGAACTGTGCTCCATAGGGTTTTCAGTGATTGAGTTTTTTGGAAGTAGATTGCCAGGTCTTTCTTGTGAGGCACCTCTGGGTGGACTGGAACCTCCAAACTTTCGGTTAGCAGATGAGTGTTTAGTCATTTGCACCACCCAGGGGACTTCTGATAGGATACGTTTTACATGTACTTACTGTCACTCATATTACACTTTCTTTTCCATCTCTATTTTTCTCCCTTGTTATCTAACAAGAGTCTTCCATCATAAACACATCATCACTTTCCTTCTAAAGCTCTTCCCACTGTTCTTAGAATTAAATCAAACTTCTGGCCTCACTGTTCTGCCTGCTCCCAGCGTGCTCCCTCTCCTCCAGCCTCTAGTCACACTGGTCTGCTGGCTGTGGCCTTCACATGCCAGTTACACCTTCAGTTCAGATCTTTCACTGGCAGTGCCCTGCTTGGAATGCACTTCACTCGCATCTTTCCAGAGCTGTCTCTTTCCTGGTAGTCATAACTGGGCTCATATGTGAACTCCTCAAAGAGGCCTTTCTTGGTCATATCATCAAACGTCATTCTCGTGTGCCGTTTTCATTGCTCACATATTTCATTTTTTTTCTTTTCACTCACCACTTCCAAAAATTATCTGCTGGCTTGTGTTTTGATTGCCTCTCTCACTAGAACACGAGGCCAGTGCAAGCTGGTGTTTTCCAGTCTCACTCATAAAATAGCCTCTGTCTCAAGAGGCCAGACTCAATACTTACTTGGCAAGTGCAGAGTGCACTCCTACTAAACATTCATTACTTCTAGAAGTTCCTGGGGATTCTTTGGGCTACAGCCCAATCACTACACTTTGGAACTAAGAGTTGTGTGTGTACACGTATCAATCACCTTCTGTTCAATTTCATGAAATTGAGGATATTTAGAACTCAAAAGAAATTTAGATTTCAACTACCTAATATCTTGATTTTACACACACACAAATGTGGCCTGAGGTTGTTAAAGCATTCGCCTAATGTTATAAACATAATTTGTTAATAGGAAATGGGTATTGAATGTGTAGGTGTTTAGGTGAGTGAAGTCTTCTCACCGTGGCTGTGAGTTGTTTTTTCACATCCACGCTGTAGCCCAGGCCCTCAAGCAACCTCTTCATCCCTTCGATGTCAACCTCAGCCCCACTCCTCCGAGAGAGATTGTTAAACTCTATATTGCATATAATGAGAGCCAGACGAGTGCGGTTCTTTCTTTCTTTGATTGGATAGATCTGCAGAAAATGGATAGGCTGTGAGTTTGACTTACCTGAGCCTCTTTTACATTTCCATAGACTAATCAGTGTTGCTTTATAAAGAGCTCATATAGCTGCTCTCTCCCCTAACGTCTACGAAAAGACACTACCTTCCTCTCACTTCCTAGTGGGTTGAGTTGACAGTAGAAAGAAGTGAAGGAGTTAGGAAGTGAGGTATTTTTCTAGAGCCCAAAGCAGGAACCAGGACATGACTGGCATGGCTACTCAAGGATCTTGGCAAAACTAGAATAATTCCTTTCCTCCTCTTCTCCCACTCTTCTCTACTTACTCAAATATTTCATAGCAATCAAGTTCAGATCAAATTTCATATAAACTAGGAGACATCCCCTATTGGATCTAGGCAACAATGAATGCACAAAAGATCTTCTACTTTGGTAACATGACTATTCTGGTACTATTTTTAATACATCAACTTATAATGCTTTGTAGGCTTGACTTATTTATATATATTTTAAAATGCTTCATCTCTAATGTCTAGGATTTCAGCTAGAATGCAAACAATTACTAGTCAGCCATGGTATCTTATAAATATTTTGATTCCATGACTACAGCTAAAATTGCCATAAATCCCAAGTACATATCATCAAAAACTGAACACAGCAGGTAATCTGCATTTCATCATGCGGCTGAAAGAGAATTGGAATCAGGGTGAGGCATGTTAGTTTCTTCTTGCTCGAAGCATCTATAAAAAAGATTATCACTGCCTCCTACAACCAGTGTTTTAAGAAATTGTGTATTTAGAGAAAGCAATTGTTTCTCTCTTTTTTTCCTGGCTCTCTTTTTCAAGTACAGAGCACAGCACCTCTCCAGCCTTTTCTTTACACAGTCTCTGGAATTCTTCACGAGGACAGAGCTTGAGAGGATCTGTGAATTCTGCTGATTCATCTGGTCCAGCCTTGATTTCTGGAAGAACTGCAAGATATATCACAAAATAAAAATTGTGACATCTACCCCAGTTGCTCAATTATTACCTAAGAAGATTGACAGAGAAGGAAAATTCTGGAAAGAAGTCTTCTTTAACATGTAGAGGTTATAGTTAAGAAGAGAGAAGTCTTTGGTAGAGAAGCAGATTCACCCAAAAATGCCACAGTAGGTTCTAATGGCTCAGAAGAAAACACCTGGATGATTCAAGGTCAAATTTGACCCTTTGGATTTTCCATAATCAGCAAATATAGTGCGATTTCCCAACAGTTTTACACTAGAGTACTCATTCATTTTGACTTCCTATTGTCTCTGAGCAAGATTACATTGAGTGAGTACTTATCAAAGCGGTGTATGTTAGAAATATAACACGAGCCACGTGTGCAATTTAAAATTTTCTAATGTGAATATTAGAAAAGTAAAAAGAAAATAGATAAAATTAATATTAATAATATATTTTACCAGAACATATCTAAAATAGTATCACTTCAACATGTGGTACTAGTTACAATTCAAGTACTTAATAGCCACATGTGGCTAGTGGCTACCATATTCGATGATATAACATCTCATTTGGTGTGATAGTCCCCCCCGAACCCATGCAATATTCAAAAACTTTCAAGAATCTTGAATCTTGTACCATCTAGGTATGATTTTTTCTGTCAAGAACCTTAACTGTAGTTCTGGCAAAATGGCGCTCTAGGCAGAAGCACCACGCCGTCCCTCCACAGCAAAGATCCGAAAAACTAAGCCGAACAGAGAATACAACAATCCTGAAACCCTAAAACATGAATTGAAGAGATAAAGAACTCAGCGAAACACCAAATGGAGTGAGAAAACTGACAGAGAACGGAGAGCGAGGAGAGATTCATGCAGAGGTCCCCTACTAGCTACTGAAGTGCGGATCTGCCATCTTGGACTCCTATCGGAGACCAGCAAATGGGGTACGAGAAAGCAGCCTCACGGAGCGTCCAGTGGGAGACAAAACAAACAGTAATTTGTGATATATGCTTTCCCACCCCCCACACTTCTTCACCCCGACTTGACCTCTTCTGATTCCCGTGGCCACAATCTCTTGACCAGGAAACACCACCTGCTTGGATTCCACACACCTGAACAGGCCAGCTCTCTGAGCGCCATTTGTTGGCTGCTGGTGTTGCTTTTTTCTGCTTCTTTTGATTTCTCCCTTACCTCTCCCCACCTCCCCCTACTTTCGCTCAAATACCTGGCTCCGTGTGCCATCTTTGCTTCTTCCTGAGGGGATGCAGAGCTCCAGTAATTTGTGATGAACGCTTTCCCACTCCCTACCCTTCTTCACCCACATTCAGCCCCTCTGCTTCCTGTGGACAAAGTCTCTTGTCCGAGAAACACCAGCGCGCACTAGCTGACTCTCTGAGTGCCACTTGTTGGCTGCTAGTGTTGCTTTTCTTTCTGCTTCTTTTGATTTCTTCCTTACCTCTCACCACCTCCCCCTCCTTTCGCTCAAATAACTGGCTCCGTGCGCCGTCTTTGCTTATTCCTGAGGGGCTGTGGAGCTCCGTTCGAGTTAGGAGCTGCTTCCCGGACTGGGCTGCTGCGCTGGTGGGATTCCGGGGCTTTTGTTCATTTGTTTGTTTTGAATTGTTTGTTTGTTTTCTTTTCCTTTTCTTGAGTTGGGAGCACTTTCTGGCCAGGCGGTGCTGCATGGCAAGGAGACTTCTCCCTCGGCATGCACAGACCTGCAGAGAGATCCCTGAGGGCATTTCTTTTTCTGTTGGTTTTTTTTTTCCTGTTTTTTTGGGGGGGCCTTTCTTGTTCTTTTTTTTTAATTTGTTTTGTTTCCTTTTCCCTCTTTTTCCCTTTTGCCTTTCTTCATTGCTCAGTTTCCTGTCTCTCTACATATTCCTTCTCTTTCTGTTCCCTGAATACCTGGTGTTGTATACCTCTATGGCTTCTAACCAGGCTGCACTGCAACACCTGAGAGAAACTTCCCCAGACCTCATAGCTGCACCAGTGGGATCCCTGGGAACTTTGCGGTTATTTAATCTTTCTGATATTTATTTATTCATTTTTTTCTATTCTTTCTCTTCCCCTTTCTGTTTTTCTCCATTTCATAGTCTCTCAACTCTCCACTCCAACGGCAAGGTCCCCTAGCATTCTTTTTTGTTTGTGTGTATGTTTTTGGCTCCTGTTCCTCTCTCGTCTCTTCCATATCCATCCTAGCTCCACATATAATAATCTCCTCGCTGCATCCTGCCTACCTGCACTGTGCACTTTACATTATACCACCAAGCAGCACAGGCACTGCCTACTGGAACCTACCCT